TAGGTCATTTAATTTTACAAGGCAGGACCTCTGAATTTATGCCGATCTTTGATAACATAGAGCTATGCTGGTGGAGAGCTTTGAAAACCCTCAGATAATTCGGCTTTGAGAATGCCTCAGCATGGATTCGAACCAGGGTTGTTTACTGTACAGCCCTGCATGATACAAGTTGAGCTAATTAGGGTTAGGGTTAGGGCAAGGACTAAGGTAAGGGTTAGAGTTTGGGTTAGGGTTTTAGATAGTGTGAAAATTTGTGATAGATGTAGGCCTTTGTTTGGAAAAGGAATGAGGTAGTCCATATTATGCGGCGTTTTTTAGAGTGGAAACCACAGACAATGTATTTACCTGTAAGCTGGGTCAGTTAATCATTTGCTTTCTCTGTTGCTATCATTAGTAAGTAAAACTAGTGGTGTTCAAGGTTTCATTGGCATTGAAAAGAATAACAGCAAGATGTTTAAAAAGTTTCCATATGGAGTAATGGGATTCCAGAGGAGAATGAAGAAAGATACTGACTTATTGTTTAAAAAAAAAAGAACCAAACAAAAAAATAAGAGGTGCCTCCTGATTTTTTGCCTTTCTTTCGACGTATTGAAACTTACTTATGTATTTCATCTTTAAAGTGTTTTTTTCTTTTAAAAACATCATAATGTTTAGAAAATTGTCTCCCACAGTCTCTCAGTATACTCGATGAATAAATACTTTCTTTTAACCTCTGCTACTGGGTGAATTATCTTTTCCTTTTATTGTTCGTTGTTATTTTCTTTACACTTTACCAATTTTGTACATAATACTCATTCACATGAATGTTTGAGACAGTAGAAAGCAACTCCAGTTTTATGAAGTACATTTCATTTTGAAGATAAGAAATGAACCGTTTTCATTTTGAAGATAAGAAATGAAACCGTTGATTGTTTCTTTCAGATGGTGGTGTTATTAGATCCCTCCGACGACCCCGATGATATTCTCAGGGCGAATCGGTCGAGGGAAAAACAATACGTGTTTGACTGCACGTTTGACGGTGCTTGCACACAGGTGAGGAAAGAACTTTTTGTCTGTGGGGGTCTGATTTTCTCCTGAATAATTAATTGTATTCATATCTTTCTTTTAGCTGAAATAGAAACGAGTTAGTCTTGAAAATAATGTTGTGTTTTTTTTTTTCGTGCTGTGTTTTTTATACTATACATCAACGCCGTCGCAAGAAAATGAGTTACTCCAATGTGCTTTTACTCACCTGTAAAGCTGGATCAAAAAGAGTGAATTATTATTTTGTGCGTCACTGACAATATGTAGTTAATGTGTAAGCTCAGTACATAGCTGTTGTTTTTTATATTCTGAATTAAAGGAGTTCACTTTGTTGTTTTATTTTTCTATTGCGTATTTTCAAATTTTGTTTTTTAATGGACTTTCATCTCTTGGGAAAAGTGGAGGAAGGAGGTTCTAGAATGAACCCCTCCCCCCCACACACACACACACACACACACACACACACACACACACACACTCACACACACACACACACATACACACACATACACACACAAAAAGGCTTTGCCACAATTTTGTTGAATTCAAAATACTCCTTTATTTCTCAAAGATTTTTTTTTACATCATTTTGGTGATTTTTTCTTATTTACAGCCTTTATATGACCTTGTTGTGTTGGAAGTGCCGTAAAACTCTTTCTAAAATAAAAAAATGTCCTTTTTTCTTCTCTCACAGAGGGATGTTTATCAGAACACAACCAAAATCCTTATACCCAACGTGACCAGTGGATACAATGCAACTGTATTTGCCTACGGACCCACAGGTACACATTGCGACCTCTGTCCTTTGTTGTCGTATTTCCATTTTTTTAACAGTGAAAATGGGACATCTTCTTAAGCTCACTCTTTTGTTATGAACTGTTTTCACTGTTATTAAAAATGGAGATACGATAAGAAAGCATTGGAACAAGGGCGAAAAATCTCGGATGGCCCGTGTGCAAGTTGCGCACGTTAAAATCCCCTGGTGGTCTAAAATCGATAAGAGTAGGCTTCGGCCGCCACCCGGGCAAAATTAAAAATTTCCTACCAACTAAAAATAATAGGTGTGTCCCGCGCGCTCATATGACCTTATGCAGTTGCGAGGGCCGTAAAACCCTATACTATAAAAAAATAAATAAATGAGAAAGCATTGGGGTCCCAATATTTCATACAGAGAAACTTTCTCCATGCTCCTTTTTGGCTTTTGCTGTTTTATGTTTCACATGTTCGTGTCAGAACAAAGAGGTGTTTATCCCCCCGTTGTGTCCTATCTGTTTGTGTGAAGGTGTCGTTTTCACATGTGGGATGATTGAGCAAAATAGATTTATTGATTGAAGTGTCAGATTGCATTTCATTCTATTCATTTATGCACTAGGTTTTTATTTAGAAAAAAACCAAACTATTGGTGTTTGTTTACAGTGTGTTATCATCTCTTTTCAATGTTCGTGTTCCTTTGTTCTTTTTTCGCTTTTGTTTTGTTAGCTACAGAAAAATAACACAGCACATGATTTTGTTTAGAGCGTTGCTGTTGTTGTACCAACCCCCCCCCAAAAAAAAACCCACAAAAAAAACCAAGTGGGTGGTTGGCGGGTGCTCTGGTGTGGTTTGCTCCTTCTTTCCTATCAAACATCTATCGTCTTTGTCTCCCCTTCTTCTTTTTTATGTTTGTTACTCTCTTGTAACAGCTCTAATCTTCTGGCACTCATATGACCTTATGCAGTTGCGAGTGCCGTAAAACCTCTACTAAAACTAAAGGAGAATAACACTGCACATGATTTTGTTTTGGGTGTTGCTGTTTTGGTACCAGAAAAAAAAACAACCAAGCAAAAAACAGGTGCTGTTGCCCAAAGGAGGGATGTTGCATCATGCATAGCATTACACCAGACAAATCTGACGAGAAACTCATCGAATCGTGGCTAAAACACATTAAACTCCCATTCTCAAAAGAGGGTTACTTAGCTATTCTGTCTTTCCGTGTGGGAAGAAAGACGAGTTCATTGCCCCTCTGGCTGCTGGGGAGCTTTTTCAAGTTGTAACGGGGACTGTGGAGAATGTTGTCCTTGCATAATGGATGAGCCCTGCTGGTTCCTGGTGCTGTTGGCTCATAAATGGTTCATGTGCACTATTGTGAGGAACAGACTTCTTGGGGGTCTGCTGGGCTGGAGATCCGAGGAAATAAGTAGCACGTCAAATGTTCATTAATTCCCCGACCTTTGATATGTCGCGACCTTAATGATTTCTTGTCGTATCTCCACTTTTAATAACAGTGAAAACAGTTCATGACAAAGAGTGAGCTAAAGAAGAAATCACATTTTCACTGTTAAAAGAAATGGAGATACGACAAGAAAGCACTGAGGTCGTGATGTTGTGACAAAGATGGAGGGGCTTGTTTACAGCGATCATGTTCTTTTCAGGCTTGAAAGGACACGTAGAAAAGATTTGAAATGGTGATAGTGTTTTTGACAAATGCAAGACGGGTCATTCTTGAACGAGCTAGACATTTGAAACGTGTTTTTGAACACTCAAACAAATTTTTTCGATGCTCTGCTAGAGAGATAAAAACAAGGTCATGGTGAAAGAAAGCTATCAGCATAAATGTTTTTCTTTCACTCTATTTACTCTACGCTCTGTTGGAAGAAAGACATTTTTAATGTGGCATCACAAATGGGAAAGATTGAAGATAACACGAACACACAGCAAGGCTGCTGTTTGGTTTGAATGGTTGAAGGAGCCTGGTTTTGTTCATAGACAGGGAAGATTTAGCATTGTCTGAAGGTTGGGCTTGTCTTGAGCTGGGTGTGCTAGACCGTGCCTAATGGCTAATGAACTTTTTTTTCTTCTGTCAGTGAGCAATGATGCATTGAGCTGGTTACTCATTTAAAAAAAATAATAAGTTATTTGAAACTAGGGAAGGATCTTTAGAGGTGAAGAATCTGATAAATGACATGTCACTTCTGTTCTGGTAGATTCTTTTCAAACTGATAGACCCCCCCCTCCCCACCCCTGGAAAAAAAAATAAGAAAGAAATAAACAAATGTCTGCGATAAACAGACACCTAACATAAATATTTACCATTTGTTTTACTCTCTCACACTCACAAGCACATGTACATGTTAATGCCTACACAGGGAAAGACGTTCATGGGTACGCGCCACGCACACCCACACACATACACACACACACACACACACATACACACACACACACACACACACACACACATGCACACACATACACACACACACACACACACACACACACACATACTTGCGCAAACTCACACACTGAAAACTTCCTGCCACACACACATTTTTTCCTCCATTAAAAGCTACTTCTTCTCTTTCCGTATACACTTTATGTCTTTTTCTCTAAACTAAGGGACAGTCATACTATTGAGGTGCTTTTCAATTCCTAAAAACAATTTTGAAAATTTTTTTCATCCAACCCTCCCCTTTCCCCTGACCCTGAAAGGCTGTTGCCGAGTTCTTGAGCTCCGTGCTCTGATTGATGATCATGATACACCAACCTCATTTGTGTTTTGGGGGCTTTTTTTTGGTTCTATCTCAGAACTTTTGTTAAAAATTGAAATACTTTCCCCATCCCCAGGTGCTGGTAAAACTTACACAATGCTCGGAACGGATGAGGAGCCCGGGATTATGGTCCAAGCTCTGAACGATTTGTTCCTGGAGATGAGACAGAACACAGACAAAGCTTTCAAAGTTACCATGTCCTATTTAGAGGTATACCTTTTTTTTTCTTCTGTTTTTCAACACTTTGCCGTCACATCTCGCCTATCGGTGATGTTTACCACCAAAGATAGTAAATAACAAGATGGGCCACTCAGCCGAAAAAGTGTCCGCAGGAAGTATGCTCTTTGCTTCAGATGGCGCTGCAGTCTGTTTTGAAGCTCTCTTTCGTTTTTCCAGAAGAAGAATAGGAATAGCACCTCCTTGCGTGCGCAGATCAACTGCTGTTCATCAGCAGTTCGGGTACGTTCAGTGCGTAGTTTTAGGTTTTTTTTATTTTAATGACCTCTCACCTTTCATTCTAAAGTCAAATTAAAGGAAGAAAACCATCACCCTTTCCTCCGGAAGAGGTTTTTTGTCAGCGTAACCATTTAAAAAAAGCGTTCTTCCGAAATTTATCCCAAAACATGCTAGTTTCACTTTGATTTTAAAAAACTCAAGTAGGGTAACTCTGTTCGCAAAGAGTGCGCTTTTGTGAAGAGGGCGCCACCAAATTTTGAGGACACTTTTTTAATTGGCTCAAAGAGAGAAGTGGCCCATCTTGTTATGTACTATCATTGTTACCACCCAGTTTCTTTGGATTTTCCCCGAAATACCTTTGCCTTTGATGGCAAGGGTTTTTACTATATGAGCCTTGTGATGGCAAAGTGTTAAAGATAAGTTTATAATTATTACACTTATTTTCTAATTAATTTTAGTTTATATTTGCTTTTTATTATTGTTTTTAACTTGACCATAGGGGTCTATTGACTATAACAGTCACTTTTCTCTGTGATCTAGAGTGACCATTCAACTCTGAAAACAATCTTCCATTAGTGAGTTTAGCTTAGACACCAAGAGTAAGAGAAAAGCATTAGCAGAAACGTCCAGGATTTACCGCTAGTCCTAAGAAAATATTAAATTAAGAATTTTGGTTTCAGTACTAGAGAAAGCCAAAACTGGCTGTTCAATGATTTTTTGACCTTGCTCTGATATGACCAGAATTTTCCTGTCAATTCACTCGGCAGATCTACAACGAAATGATCCGAGACCTCCTGAATCCCGACTCGGGGTTTTTGGAGCTGAGGGAAGACGCAAAGGGCAGCGTCCAGGTGGCGGGTATCTCCGAGGTCACTGCCAGATCCACTGAGGAGGTTCGTGGGATGTTTAAATAATATAAGATAGATCTAGTAGATAAGATACAGTGAAGTCTGTTTCAACTGAAATCTGCGGGACTGCTGGGTTTTCTTTGGTTTTTCTGGGGGTTTTTTTGGTTTGGTTTAGAGAGGGTTGCTCAAATAGAAGAAAAAAAAATGGGGGATTTTGTTTTGTTTTGTTTTACTGAGTTTGATTGAAGCCGACTTCCCTGTACTGATCATATGTTATTGGTGACTGTGAGGAAATGTGAAGTGCAATGGCAAATAGTATGTACTAATGATTCACCAACATCACTAAATATAATGATATACACGACATGATCACAGCACACAATACAGACAATGTTATAACATGATGTTTGTGATTACCACTGTGCAAAGAATTGAGCATTTCCAGAGAAATGAGTTTTTGAAGAAAGACTCGTTCTTTATGAGCATTTGTTTGAATACTGGTAACCAACCCTTTGTTACTGCGCCAGCAAAAATGGTGCATCTCATTTTTGTTACTTTTGAGATAGACGGAAGAAACTGTTTAATAAAACTAGACTACTTATCGTCTAATAATGGGAAGACTTGCCGTACATGTTTTGTGACTACCAGGACAATTTTGTTTTTGGTTTTTACCAAATGATAGATTATAGTACCACCTAGCAAACTTGACATTTTTATGAGTTTTTATTCTGTTACTAATTGGCTCGTTCTTTTATTCTGATTTTTTTTTGGTGGTTTTACTTCATTCCTTTACTGGTTGCACATGCTCTGACATCATGTGACCTCCTCCTACTTGAATCGTAAATATTTTGACTTCTTTTCAAGATCGATTTTTTTCATCATAATCAAGACAAATTTACACAATTTAAGGTGAATACTAATCACTTAATTTACAGAAATTGATGTACAGAAATGTGGGAAGACATGAAATAAAATCAAGAGACTAGCCCAGTATAGGGAAAGGTGGAAAGGGTTTGTCCGTGGCCTATACCCTGGTGCAGGGTGAGAAAGGCAATGATGATGATGAATAGCTTCATATGCCCAAAAATTGATGAACACCTGATTCCACCGTGTCGAGACACAAAATGTTTTTATTTCCCCGCCCCGATCAGGTGATGGAGATGTTGGTCAAAGGGAACCTGGAGCGGACGCAAGAGCCTACGGCCGCCAACGCCACCTCCTCAAGGTCGCACGCCATTCTGCAGGTGACGGTCAAGCAGAGGAACCGCGTGCGCAACGTGATGCAGGAGGTGCGCACCGGACGATTGTTCTTGGTGGATTTAGCGGGCTCGGAGCGCGCTGCAAACACGCACAACCGGGGGAAACGGATGGTGGAGGGGGCTCACATCAACCGGTCGCTTCTGGCGCTGGGGAACTGCATCAATGCTCTCAGTGAGTTTTGTTGCTACGTGGTTGGGTTTTTTGTTTGTTTTTGTGAGTTTGTTACTTTGTTCATTTGGTTGGGTTTTTTGTTTGTTTTTGTGAGTTTGTTACTTTGTTCATTTGGTTGGGTTTTTTGTTTGTTTTTGTGAGTTTGTTACTTTGTTCATTTGGTTGGGTTTTTTTTTTTTTGCGAGTTTAAAACATTGTTCATTTGTTCTTTTTGT